CTTTTTCTTTTCCTGTGGTTTGGTGCTGCCTGTCTTTTCATGGTTAAGTTGGGTTTCACTTTCTGTGTGCAGAATCCCTTGAAGAATCCTTTGTAGTGGTGGCTTTGTGGTCACATATTGTTTTAGTTTCTGCTTATCATTTAAGACTTTTATTGGTCCATCTATTTTGAATGATAGTTTTGCTGGGTAGAGTATCCTAAGGTTGAAGTTATTTTCATTCAGTGCCTGGAAGATCTCACCCCACGCTCTTCTTGCTTTTAATGTTTTTGTTGAGAAGTCTGCTGTGATTTTGATGGGTTTACCTTTATAATTTGTTTTTCTCTCTTATTGCCTTCAATGTTCCCTGTTCTCAAGTTTGGGAAATTTTCTGTTCTAATTTTGTTGAATATATTATGTATCTCTTTGACTTGGACCTCTTTTCCTTCTTCAATGCCCAGGATTCTCATGTTTGGTCTTTTGATGACGTTGTTCAGTTCTTGCATATTCCTTTCACAGCTCTTGAGTTGTGTGAGTATTTTTTCTTTAATATCTGTTTTATCTTTGAGCTCTGAGATTCTGTCTTCTACTTGTTCTAGTCTGCTGGAGTGGCCTTCCACTGTGTTTTTTGTTTGACTAAAGGGACTTTTTTATTTCCAGGTTTCTGTTTGATTCTTTTTTCTGAGGTTTTCCATATCTTTGTTCAACTCCTCTTTCAAACCTTGTGTTGTCTTCTTTATTTCATATGTCTCCTTTGTTTCACTTTGGTGTTTGTTGAAGTCCTCTCTGAGTTCATTTGGTTGTTTCTGTGTCTTCTCAAGATTTTTATTTGTGATGTCTTGAAATTTCTTGAGTGCATCTTGTACTTTCTGGTGAACCATGTCTTGTGCTTCTCCATGAGTTTCTCAGTGATATCTTCCATGATTTCCTTTTGAAAGATTTTTTGTGGGTGTCACTTGGCTCATTAGTGACATTTGTCATTTTTTTTTTGGGTCAGGAACTGAGTATTCATTTCCCACTAAATTCTTTTTTTTTTTTCATTTTTCTTTTATTATTCATATGTGCATACTAAATTCTTTATTGAATTGTTTTTTTGAGGACTATAGTTTCCTTGCATTCTTCTTTTCCCAATCACTCTCATTGGTGCTGTGTAACATGTTCTTGATTGGCTGGTTAGCAGTTTTTAATTGCCTGTTTTCTTTCCCTTAATTTTTGTGTTGTGACTGGCTTAATTGTTAGCTAGATTGATGTGCTATTTCTGTCCTTGGCCTGGAGGTGTAAATTAGCAATAGAAAATTCACAGGTTCAATGCCAGACCAGTTGTTTACATATTATATAGAAAACCCCTTGGTGATAATACCTATAAACAGTGGGATTTGGGGGGCAGGTAATGGTTGTTTGGTTAGAGATAGAAACTTGGGTAATTGGTCAAGATGGTGTTAAAAAGGGGTGGTGGTGGATGGGGGAAATGGGGCTGCTGGATTTTGTGGCCCCTGTGTGTATTTGGGCGTATTTCCACTGTTGTAGTGGAGTGTGCTTGTATCATGGATTGCAGGGAGCTGGAGATATGTACAGTTGATACAGTAGGCTAGTCAGCAGGTGGTGAATGTGTAGGAGGGAGGGGTAATGTGGCAGATTGGGGAAAGATAGAGGGGGAGATGAAGACAAGGGGAGAGTGTGGATCAGAAGGGGCAGAAAGTTGCTGGGGAGAAGAACAATGGATTGTAGCACAAGGAAAGGAGAGAAAGTGAAGGGGGTAAGAATAGGGATAAGAAAGTAGTAATGGTGAGGTTAATAATACAAAAATAAACAAACAAACAACAACAAAAAACCAGGTACAACAACAAGTTTAGTCTGCTTGGTAAAAGTTCTGGACTTAATCCTTTGGCATCCAATCCTGGTATTGGGCTTTGTGGGGAAGGGTGCTGCCCCTCTTGTTGGACAGCTTGTGGGGAAAGATAGCTGGAGGGTTCCCCCCCTGCTTTCCTTGGTCTTATGACCAAGAGCTCCATTACAAGTGGGAGCTCTGAGGTGGTCTCACCAAGTGACTGGCTTGTGAGCAGTATTTGGTTCTTTCTGTGCGCAGGGCAGGTTGCAAAAGGGATCTGAGGTAACTTAATACCAGTTTGTGCAAGGTGGTCCAATCTGTTGTTGTTTTTGCCAGGTGGCATCTGCTTTGCCCTTCTGCTGCAACTCTGTTTGGCTGGCTGAATTCTATCCCCAACCCCAGAGTGGGCTTTCTAAAATAAAAATTAGATCATATCCTTCTCATGCTTAAAACTCTTAAGTTTTTTTTTCTGTCAGAACTGGGTATTTGAACTCAGGGCTTTGTACTTGCTGGGCAGGGGCTCTACCACTTGAGCCACACCCTAGCCCTTTTTGCTTTATTTATTTTTCAGATAGGTCTCGAATGTTTATGCCTGGGTCAGCCTGATCTGTGATCCTCCTATTCATGATATACAAGTAGTTGACAGGTGTGTGCTACCATACCCAGATTTTTATTGGTAGAGATGGTGTCTTATGAACTTTTTGCAAAGCTGGCCTCAAACAGTGATCCTCCAAATCTCCAACTTCTGAGTCACTGGGATTATAGCTGTGAGCCACTCCCTTGGCTTCGTGCTTAAAGCTCTTGTTTATTTCAGGAGAAAATGCAAATTCTTTATCCTGGTGTCGTGGAGACAATTCTTTGTTTACTCTAGCATTTTGTCTCTCTTGGCACATAGACTAAATTTCCTTTCAGTAATGTTGGAGTCATGTGAAAACAAGTGGAAGTGACATGTGTCATGAATACCTATTAGATTTCTCTTTTGGTCTAGGTCTTTGAGGCCCACGTTCTGGGTGATTTAGGATGGAGAGCTTCCCTGCTCACATGATTTTACACAAGTGAGAAATAAGTCTTTATGTGGTAAGTTGATGAAACTTGGGGATTTATCTGTTACTGCAGGATAGCTTACCATGACCCTGACTATATATAAGGTCTTTGAGGGTCTGGGCTTGCTCCTTTCTTCCACATTTTTTCTCTTCTCTTCTTTCCCTTAGATTATATTCTAGTCATGATGTGCTGTGCTCTTTCCCACTTCTGGGCATTTGCACATATAGTTTTTATTTAGAATGCCTTCTTGTCACCAGCCTCCTCTTTGCTGGGTAATCCCATCTCAACAAATAAGTCAGGCACAGTGGCACTCTGTAATCCCAGCTACACATAGTTAGGAGGATCATGGTCTGAGGCCAACCTCAGGGTGAAAACTTAAGACCCTGTCCTAAAAATAAAGCAAAAACAAAACAAAAAAACCCAAAGGGCTGGGAGCTTAGCTCAAGTAATAGAGTACTGAATTCAAAACCTGGAACCATCATCCCTTTATCCCCCCCCAAAAAAAGGGGATTGAGGAAAATCTGGTAAAATCCAAATAAAATCTGGAGTTTAGTTAACAGTTTGTTTTGATAGTTATACCACTGTAATGTGAGATAGCATTAGAGGAAACTGGGAGAGAGGTATAAAGGAACTCTCAGTTTTATCTTTGCAACTTTCCTATAAGTCTAAAATTATTCCATAATAATAAGTTTATTGAAATAGTCATATTATAATTGATATTCATTTTATTCTCACAATTTTCCTATATTATCATTGTAATGAATGTCATTTACAGACAAAGAAACTCATTTCAAGATAATGAAGTAGAAATGACTGGTGGGCTGGGATTTAAGTGGGATGCAATAATAAATATTTACTGAGCCCTGATTTTGTGTGAGGCTCCCATCCCATATGCCATGTAAATAGAGAGTATTGAGAGTAGGTGGTCTCTGCCCTCAAGGTCATTATTACCAGTAGGAAGGCCAAGTTCACATAATGCTAAGTGTAGTATTGAAGATAGCAATCCAGCTCTGATTCAAGACTCATCCTCTTAAGCACTGCACCAAACGAATTGGGGGAAAGTGGTGATTAGAGGCAAATGCAACTCACAGCAGAGATGCAGTGGCAGACATGGTTGAGGGTTAAGGACAGCTAGCTTTATAGGTGGAGACTTTGATTTGAGGCTTCAATAGGAATGTGATTTGTTCCAGATAGAAAGAAAAGGAAAACTGGGAGCCACCTGTCTCTTGGTTCCTTTTCCCTTCTCTAAGTGGGACTGTGCTTGTGTTCATTTGGCAAGCACAGATGAAGGCATTGCTGAGGACCTTGGGAAAGACAGCAGCCCATAGTGCACAGAGTATACATGTTGGCATCAGGCAGGCCGGGGTTCAACAATCACTTAGCTTTCCATTGTGCAATCTTGAGCTGGTTACTATGCATCTCTGAGCCTCAGGAACATGCAGGTAACAATGACCACCTGACATGGCTGATGTGACAATTAACCACTGGAAAATGTATAAAGTTGAGAACAACGCCCACAGTTGTACAGGTTCAGTAAATGGTAGCCATCTCTCTGTGCCTCTTATCTCTGTTCTGTTAAAGCCTTGTACAATGAACTCTTGGTTATGCTGCTGCTAAATGTTTCCTAGGAAGGCAGCTCCATGTAAAAAGACCTGGGTTGTGGGCCACTATGCCTCTTAGCAGTTGGTCTACCAAGGTCACTTTAACCTTTCTTTCTTTCTTTTTTTTCATACTGGGGATTGAACTAGAACTTCATACATGCTAGGCAAGTGCTCTACCAGTTGAGCCCAGGCTTCAACTTTTCACTGTTAAATTGTATCAATACTATAGAATCTTTGGGATAATTATGAGTTGGAGTATTATGGTGGCCCATGGACACATATATTAATCTTGACTTTCCCACAAATTGCTTTCTCTTTGAGGAAGATCTTAAATCTTGTATTTCTTGTATTCTCTCCCTCTAGCACTTAGTTTTGGGGACACAGATGCTCAGTAAACACTAGCACACTTGCTTGGTTGGGGAGCTTTCTTGGCATTTGGATGTTTCTAACAACTTTTCTAAATTTTGTGCAACCCCATCCTGTTGAGCTCATGGAATTGTCCTCAGGCTGGTGGAGCAGGAAGGGACCAACCTCTGAAATGACCATCAAACATCTTATTTATTTTTTCTGGGAGGCTTCAGGCTCTACAACAGCTCAGTGGTGGTGAGATGGGGAGGAAAAGAGAGAAAGAAGGGTGCCTGGAGAAGGCAGAACAGCTATTCTTAGTCTCTGGCAACTAAATCAGCTGAGGGAAGCGACCCTGGGCCCAGTTAGTCCTGCTTTGAAAAATCCGCCTGGTGCCTTCCAACTTATTCCCAGCCTCATCTTCAGCTTCATCCTCATTCAACCTGCGGGTAGTATTCTGGTAGAGCACAGCACACACACCCGTGAGCCAGGCGGCCACAGTGCCCGCAGCGAAGATGCCAAAGCCGATGAGCAGCAGGAAGATGTAGTCTCGGTGGTCCAGGTGTGTGATGCACATGTACCGGAGTGGGTTCCCCACCTGTGAGATGGGCCACCCTGTCAGCTCTGTGGGCTCCACGCACGTGGCATTTTGGTCATCTATGAAGAAAAACACAGCAGGCAGGATGCTAAAACAGCAGAACTCTCAAGGTCCTAAGCCAAGCCAAAGGGGATTGGGGAGGGGGCTGTTATCTGGAACCCAAAGTATGGTCTATGAACTAGCAACACTGGCCTCACCTGGACCTTGTTAGGAAAGCAGACTCTCAGGCCCCACACCAGGCCTCCTGATATGGAATCTATATCTCAACAAGATCCACAGGGCACATGGTGGCACAATAAAGTTTGAAAGGCACTGTGCCTGGACTACTCTTTGCCCCTAAGTTTATCTGCATTCAGGTCACAAAGATGAGCTTTGCTTCTTTTGAATTTCTTTTCTTTTTGGTGGTACAGGAATTTGAATTGAAGCCTTGTGCTTGCTGGGCAGGTGCATACCACTTCTGTCACTCCACCAGCCCATGGGTTTTACTTCTTAAGGATTTTTGGGAAAGGAGAATCCCCAACAGGAGGCAGGACTTTGGGAATTTAAGCAAGATTGCCGTGGAGCCCTGGAACAGCTCAGGCCTCCATCAAGGTATATCACATCTTCTCTCCCTCTTTTCAACCCCACCTGTCCTCTTCACTTTTTCCTTTTCTGCACTTGTGTCTGTGCCCAGCCAGTGACTATGTTATGGTTTAGATATGAAACGTCCACCCATCCCCAAAAGGCTCATGTGTTGATGGTTTGGTTCCCAGCTGGTGTTGCCATTGAGAGGTGATTGAATCATGAGGCACTAACCTCATAAATGGGTTAATCCATTGATGAGTTCATAGCTGAATGGGTTTGGAAGAAGTAGATCACTGGGGTAGTCCCTTGAAAGCTATCTCTCATCCCAGGACTCTACTTCCCTGCTCTCTTGCCACCATGAAGTGAGCAGTTTTGCTCTACAATACATTCTCCCTCAGCCCCCACAACTCTCTCCCTTAACACGAGCCCACAATGATGGGGCAAGCAACCATAGACAGAAAACTCTCAAACTATGAGCCTTTTAAATTGTTTCTCAGGTATTTTGTTTTATTGATGAAAAGCCAACTAACACAGAGCATTAATGCTACCTCAGAGCATCACAAACCATTTGTATCAACTGAGGGAGGTCTGAGATTCCCTGAAAATGTTTCTGGTATATTATCTCTGTAGAATAGGCCAGCAGAGCTTAGCATAAAGAAGTCACAAAAGAGAGAAGCAGTCCTACTCCTTGGTGGTGTTGGCATTCATTGTGATCACATTAGCCACCTGAGTCTTCAGTCACTTTTAATAGGTGACTCACTCCCTCGCCATTTCTCTGATCACCTCCTCATAACTAGCACCAGACTTCAGTACACAGAAGAAGGAAAAGAGGGGTCTAGAGCTAGACTCTGTCACTAGCTAATCTTGCAAACTTTGGCAGCATACCTGATTTTCTCTTTGAATTCCACTCTCTCATCTTACACGTGCAAAGAATAATACCTATTCTGACGGTAGTTATCAGGGTTGATAGATGACACAGGTGACAAGGCAGGCTGTTGTGCTACGCATGTAGAATACTTGGAAAACCATCCCTGGCCCTGCATTATTCTAGTTCCACGTACTCTACCAAGTCAGTGCTGAGGTGCCTGGGTGGCTGCCCAGGTGAATATATCCAGCCCACATTAGATCACTGAGCTGGAGCTCAGGTTGAGTCCAGGGCTTAAGACAATAACCACAACCAAAGTCATGATGCAGCTAGTATTTACTAAGCTTTTACTATGCACTGATTTACAAATTTTATCTCATTTAATTCTTAAACAACCTTGATGCACACACTGTTATCATCTTCATTTTAAAAATAATAAAACTGGGGTGCAGGAGGTTTTGTTACTTAAAAGTTTCTAGAGAATCTGCAGAATCTAGACAGGAGACTGAAGATGGAGAAAACTAGTCCTGAGATATTGAAGCTTGCTCTGCAGAAGTGGGAGACACAGACAGAAGATGCTGCAAGAGAGAAGCTTCCTCTAAACTTCAGGGCAGGAACTGCACCACTCTGTGACAGCATCAATATCTTAGGTGACCAAGGAAGTTAAGGAAATAGGTTTAGTTGGAAACTGTAGCAGGAACTAGAGGCAGGGAACATACAGAAAGGGGTTCAGGAGTTGACTGGGAGGAGGCAGTTGGATTTGGGTGACTGGAAAGAGCAGTGTCCATTCCCCAGGATGGATGCCATTACTTCTCCTTGCTTCTGTGTCAAGGCACCTATGGACAATTACACCCTGGATGACAGCCTGAAGAATGTAATGCTGTGGCAGGCTCACTGTCTGAGGAGATTGTAGACTCTGGAAGGCAAGCTAGTACAGGGACTGTCACAGCTAGTGTTTATAACAATTACTAAGGAAAGGAGGAGAGTAAGGAGGCCTGTAAACTGAGTGTGGACCAGTGGCCTTAGGGGACACCCTGCACCAAGCAAGAATGCTTAAATAGAGGGATAAGGGTTGTGGATGTGAGGAGGCAGAAAACACAATTATGCCTGTAGACCTCTTTCCAGTCAGCCTGGCTTGAGGACTTTGGGGGCTTTGCCCAGGAGGCTAAAGAATGGGACTGGGAGGCAGATCCTGGGATCTGATGAGGAATTCCATGAAGAAAGGGCTCAAGTCACAAGCCCAAAGTGCCAGACACAGGAATAAGAAGAAAAAAATGTCTCTGAGAAAGGAAAATGTGGGATTCTGAGGGTCTGACCTGTGCCTAGGGGGTTTATCTCATCCTATTTTTAAGAAGATTTGGCTTTTAAATTGGGGCTTGGGCGGCAGAGATGAGACTAAACATTAAACACACACTTCCCCATTTTGGAGCATTAACTTTGAAAGGAGCAATTAGGGAGTGATTTTAATGCATTGTTAGGCTGCTGTGAAGTGAGGGAAGTGGGTGGCTCTGCTGGGAGGGAGGCCTGGGTTTTTCTCCTGCTGAATTTTCTCTCCCTCCCCCCATTCCTTGTCATTGCCAAGGTTTGGGTTCTCCTTCCCTGTTCCCTGTTTACATTTCTTCAAGTTTCCCAGCTCTGTCCACTTCACACAATGCTGCCTAATTTCCTTTCCCAAGTACAGCTTTTCCTAGACACACACTGGCTTGAAACCTTTAGTTCCCCTGTGGGCCTCAGAATAACACCCAGACCACCTGGTCTGCATTGAGAGCCCCTCAGCATTGGCCCCTTCTCCCTTTTCCATCTTACTGTGCAGCACTCCTGGTGACCCACCTTTGCTCCAATCAAATTAAACTCACATCTTGCCCTGCCCCTGATCTTTAGCTACTGCTGCTACACCACTCTTTTTGCACTGACTGGCTCTTTCTCAAGGTTTTGTATGATCAAGTTCTCATTCTTCAAGAACTAGTCTAAAACTCCAAGTCTTCTCCCAGCCATCACTCAGAGCGTATGTGATTGTCCCCACCTGTAGTAGTTCCTTGTATCATTGGGAAGGCACGCACCACATTCTACCTCAAATGCTCGTTAGTTACGTTTACATCTTTTCTCCCCTACCAGACAGATTTTTAGCTCTTGAAGTCATAAACTATGTCCCATGATTATTGCTCTTATTAATAAGAGCCACTATTCATTGACTAAATTGTTTAATTTGTGAATATTTCAGGGTTTTCTAGTAACATTTTTATTATTGGATTCTAGTTTAATTCTACTGTGGTTGGAAACATATTGTCATTTTGATCCTTTGACATTTCTTGAGAATTTGCTTTATGGCTGAACATAAGGTCAATTTTAGAAAAATTTCATGTGCTCTGAAAAATATATATTTTGTCTTTATTGAGTACATGGTTCTATGTGTGCCCATCAACTTGTCATGGGATACAGATGTTCTACACTCTTTTTGACTTTTTCATCAGAAACAACTAATGTCTCTTAGTTACTACTAGACGTTCCTGGTCTCTTAGTTCCAGTGAGAAGTGTGTAAAAGTCACTAGTTACAATTGTGCAGTTGTCTACTCCATACAGTTCAATCAAGTTTGCTTTACATATTTTGAAGTTAGATTTTTTTTGGTGGCACTGGGGTTTGAATTCAGGGATTTACACTTGCTAAGCAAACACTTTACCACTTGAGCCACACTCCCAGCCAGGAGCATAGAAAGTTATAAGTATATATAGGTTTACCTTTCTATCTTTGAGCAGCATCTCTCATTGTCGTTAGTAATGTTTCTTGACTTAAAGTATACTTTGTTTGACATTAGTATGAGTGCATTGAATTTCTTTCTTTTTTTAAATGTTTTAATTTTATTTTTAATTTTTCAAATTATTCATTTATTCATATGTGCATACATTGTTTGGGTCATTTCTCCCCCATGCCCCTCTCCCCCACCCTCGAGTGTATTGAATTTCTTTTGGCTAGTGTTGCATTGTGTATCTTTTTCTATCCTTTTACTTTGAATCTTTTGATGTTCCTGTATTTAAGGTATATTTTTGTAAGCAGCATGTAGCAGGATTTTTTCATCTAAGCGAGCAGATTTTGTAACATTTGGTCTATTGACATTTAACATAGTTACTAACATATTTGGATTTATAGCTAGTAATTTACTATTTGTTTTCCATTTGCCCACATACTTCATGACCCTTTTCTTCTCCTTTTGACTTCTTTTTTGTTATTTCATGTCCTATTCCTTAGCTTGTTAGTCATACATTCTTTTCTACTTCTGGTATGACAACTCTGGGATCATATACCCATGTACCCATACTGGCATTCTTGATAGGTAATGAGTATCACATGAGGTAGTTTACAAAATTCAGCTCTGCTGTACTCTGGACCATCCCACAGGGTAGTTTTAAATATTCCTATGCTATAGAATGAGTAAACAATTCTGTCTCTGGCTTGCTTCATCTCCTTGCCTCTTGCACAGGTCTGCCATGTACTGTTGTGAATGCTGTGCACAGTACAATTCCTTAAGCCTCCATTCACATTACAGACAGGTGTCTAGGCCCCATGATATTCCTTCCTTCAGCCTCACTCCAGTGAGCCCAGGGCATCTGCCCCAATTACAGCTCCCAGATACA